AACGATTAAATTAGTTATCATACTGTAAAATAGAGCTTACATTACAACACCAAATATAGTAATTAAAATTTTAATGATTTTTTAGATCAAATGTTGGGACTTGAGAAGAGAAACCATGTGAAATGTGATAGAGCAACCTGGGGAATATGTTTCTGTAAGGATCACTTTCTCTTTTTGTCTTCAAATAAGTAATACATCTTTCTACTTCAGACTTTACCTCCAAGTAAACCTCATGAGAATTCTCTTTATCATTCAGCTCTTTCTCTTTACCTTTAGTTTCTATTGGTTTCCCAAAGTATACGTAAAACCGTCCCGGTATCTTTGGAACTATTCCTGGCATATGCAAATCTTGGTTTCCTACTTCGCCTTCTTCGCCGTTCCTATGTATATTATCATCGCTAGATTTCAGAATCATATGTTGTCATATAATCTCGTCGAAAAGAGAATCGAAACGAATATACCTCAACTTAATAGTGTCCTGTGTTATCTCTTCTATGAGATCCTTCAAGAATGGGATCTTCATTTGATCATTGTAATCCAAAACCATCTGAGAAATCATTCCATTGCAAACCGGAGTTACTCGTAAACCGATTGAAACAAAAGAGGCTTTTTAAGGAATTGCATATACTGAAACTAGAACAGAGAAGAGATTTTTGCTTACTTCACAGAGATCATCTTCTCCGACAACGCCAAAAGGAATGATTTTTGCTCCGAATTTAGATGCGATTCTTACAAACTCTGAATGTTCTGGCCAAAACAGCTTGTATTCTTCACCCTGTAGAAACGTTTCATTAAATGTAACGACTCGAAAAAATTAACAAGAAGGACCAAATATGGAAGTTACAATCATTACCTTTCTGTGCAAAGCTTCACGGACACCTCCAGGATACAAGACCACGTGAGATTTTGAACGAAGTAGTTTGTAGAAATTGACATTTGAGACAGGAACTGCGCCGATTATCCTAACCGAGTCGAACATCTGCATATCGGGAAGTTTTGAGCCAACTTTTTTGGTAAACATCACTGGATGTGCCAGTCCACGCAACAGAATGTTCCTTTCTTTCAAGAAATGAATCGCTGCTGGACGCAATTCGATACCGAGCAACATGTGATTGCCAACATAGAGAACCGGTCCCTCTGAAGGTATTCCTGCAAGTGATCTTACTACTGTACCATTGTTTAGAGTTGAGAGAAACACTGGAGAAATAGCAGCGGTTAGCAATCTGGATCAGAGAAAATAATGTTTCAGTATTTGCTTACGGTAACAGAAACAGATATTCTATTCTAGCTAAGCTCTGACGATAAACGATTTTTTGCTAACTAACCAAAATATTTTCACTAGATATACCTTAGTCAAGAAAGTGTTTGACACAGAAATTACACAAGGATATTGATGCGACAACTAACTCCGTTACCTTTGTGATTCCTCAAACTCTTTGAGCTCATACGGAGTAGGACGAATGTAATCTGAAACGTAATCAAGCGTCTTTCCACGGCGATAGTAATAAGCAATCTTCATGATAGTCGCCAGATCTACCCCATCCTCCTAACATAACACAAATATAGATCAATCATGTTGTAGAACATAATCATTAAATCAAACATAAAACTTTTTTGTAAATCTGATGCAAGATCTTTCTCTATTGGTTATAGACTAGTAGAGATTATATTTGTTTTACGAACTAACTCAGTAGGACTCACTGACACAAGGAAAGTTTCTTGCATCAAGAGAAAGAGCACCTTACCAAGAAGAGGAACTGTCCATTATTCTCAAAGTTACGGATTTCACATTTCGGCAATACACAATGGAGTCTTTCAGTGTCTTCCTTGTTCAGTAACCATTGACCGCGTCCACTGCAATAGCCATAGCCGTACAAAGCTATAACTCAGCTTCCAGCGAATACAATTCTATAAAAACACAGCTGAACTTCTACTTATACTTAATAATGAAACAGAAGTTTATGAACCTCAGAAGTATCAGTGTTTGGGCTTTGACTGTATACATGTGAGAATGAGCAGATGCTGAAGCAGACTTAAGCAGTTGAAGCTTCCATAAAAGTGTGTCCTTGGGAAAGATCCTACTCAGAGTCTGTAAATAAATTTTTTCGTGAGTTTAATTATTACAAGATATATAGCGAGTGAGTAGAGAAAGTAAAATGAAAACAACAAGACGAAGAACAAACGAGAGCATATTACTAGTTAAACACTATGATCTGCAAGACAAAACAACACTCATATATCAATAGTGTCTTACAGGCAAATTAGCGGACGTTGCAAAGAAGTCTCCTAAGAGCCCTCCACCCATCTGCGCGGCATCAATATCCTTCAGCAAAGTCTCGAACATTGCTGCAAACGGATAACCTAATAGTATAATAAAACAGAGTTAGCCCTGACTTTCAGGCAAACCTGATACTGAAACCCGTATTTGAGACAGAAATTTGTAGACCTTGTCTTCGCATATAATTTTTTTAGTCTTTTACACATACAAAAAGGAGTTGTGACTTCACCTTGTTTAAACCCAAAATTCTCTTCTATCAAGCTGGGAACATCGTCAGGCAATATTTCCAGTAGACTCGATAAAGGTTGCAACATGAGGTTGTTGACACGCGTAACTGCATCAAACAGAGTCTAGTATGAGCACATGACAAGATGCATAGTGCATACATTCCATGAGATTAACCCGCACAAATCAGCAAGAAGGACTATAATGTGCAGCAGCCAACAACAACAAAAAAAAGACTCTTTGAACATGACTGAGTAATTGTTTACTAACAACGCTTAAATTACAAAGTACTGCACTTTACTCACAATACATTTCTGAGCTAGGAAAAATCATCGTCAAAAGTGGCCAAAAAGAAATAGGAGAAATAAAAAAGCATCTCAATGATCCAGAAAAAGCGACTAGTCACGTTTTACCTGGATTAGCCAAAATTAAGACAATATCAATGTCAGGGTTACTAGCTGCAACATCTAGAGCAAGAGAAGCTCCAATAGATTCTCCAACTATATAAACGGGTCGTTTTGGGAAACGGTAGTACTCTGACCTAACTGTCCTCTCAATGAGCTTTACAATCTCTGAAAATGACATAACACAACAGAAAGAGTTTCATCCACATAAGATCAAATCCATTTGGTTACAAAACGGTAACGATACAACAAAGAAGGCGAACAAAAAAACACCTCGAGCAGGAGTACGATCAGTGACTGGAAAGTGAAGGCACCATATGTCGAATATCCTATGATCAAAAGATAATGAGATCATTAAACGATAAGCCTTCAAGTCAATGCTAACTAATTCAGGATACATTCATATCTTGTTGAAGAAACTGGAGCAAGAAGATTGAAATGAAGTTGGAATCAAACAATACTCACTCTCCAAGTCTCTTATGCTGGCGAATGAGCCCTAATCCAGTACCATCGATTCCTGCAATTTTGATTTCTGAGATATGTCAACTACTTTTCACAACGCAGTATAGTTGCATTGTTCGAATCAGATCAAAGCAATAACAAAATCGACCAATTTCAGCTCTAGAATTTGTAAAGAACGAACCAGGTACGTAGAGAAGAAGAGGAGATCCTGGAGCTCGTGCGCCACATTCCAATGGAGAGAACCACCGTGGCGGACCACCATCTCCGCCGTCTGATCTGAAGAAATCCCTAACTTCCACAAAAAAATCCGTCAAACTCTTCCGCTCCTCAGGCCGTGCTACCTCCGTGTACGAATACGGATTCACCGTCGCCGTCACTTTCCTTCCTTCCCGATAACCGACGAGATTCGCCGATTCATACGCGAGGAAGGTAAATCGTTGGGTTGATTTCCAGAAGGAAGAATCGAGATTGTGAGCTCTTTTCGAACCTGAGGAGAAAATGGGACAGATTCCATCGGTGATGCGAAGTGTAGTAATCGACATCGATCAGAAAACTCCGAGATCGATGGATTTTTCTGT